GGCTGCGCGCGGGCTTCGCGCCACAGCCCTGAGGAGGCTTCCCCGGGCCGACCGCCCTCTTCCCCTGACAGGAGGGCGAGACGCCGGGCTCCTTCGCAGCCCTCGGGACACCTCTCCTCCTCCCTCACCTGGCTGCGAGCATCTTAAGGACTTTTTTTTTTTTTTTTTTTTTGTGGTTTTCTGACAAAGAACGGGCTCCCACAACAGGAAAATGCACAAACGCACCCAGTGCTTCCCCTAACAGCTGCATTTTTACATGTGCTTCCTGCAGCTGCAAAAAAAAAAAAAAAAAAATTCCAGTCGTGTGGTTAGTTGTCAGCATTTCCACATAAGAAACATTTGCGCGGGAGGGTGGAGGTTGTCTTAAAAGAAATTAAACAAAAAACCAAACAAACAAGGAGGAAGTAAGTTGCACACAAAATTCTGTGAGGAAATTTTGCAATGCTGCAACAGACCAGGCCTTGGGAGGGATTTTGTATTACACAGGTGAAGAGGACAGGCAGAGTCTGTAGGGGTTCATCTTGTTACTGGGAGACAAAGAAATAAGGCAAGGATCACAAAAACTTTCAAGGCATTTTCTATATAAGTAGTTACTTCTTCACGTACAACACGGCCTAGAGTTCTCCAGAAGGCATTGCCAATGTATGGCTAAAGATTACATTTACTTTTTCCCAGAGGATGACAAATAAAGAATATCTACTTGCTGTAACTGTAATTATGTAGCTTTGTATTACTGACTAGACAATCAAATTAGTAATTAAATTTGTTTCTACAGTGATGTCAAACTCAAGTTAATGTTGAGATTTTTAATTCTAGTACAGCTTAATATTTAAGTTTGACCAAAATAGTTCCCTAACAAGCTGGCTAGCTATAAATATTTATTAGCATCTTGAAACCTCTCTCTCTCTCTATTTTTTTTGACAATTTTTAATTACATTGCTGCTAAAAAAACCTAGTACCACGTACATACTTAGTCTCGGCCATATGATCATCTGCATTATCTCTAGCAAGTGTGTGACTCTTTGATCGAATCAGTGATCTCAATCCCTTATAAGAGCAGTGCTAGAAAAATCATATACAGTCTTGTGTACTGCATGGCAGCACGGTTCTACCATACAGCTCTTACATGGAAAACTGCTGATTACGTCAGCTACATCTTAGAACAACTTTATATAACGCTTAGTTGTATCCCACACTGCTGTTCCTCACTCCACAGCTTTTTCTTCTGCCCACTGCTCTGTCTGCCATAGGCTAAATATGTAAGTGGAAAACTACAAAAGTCTTTACACAAACCAGTAAAGATCAGCAGTGTTTCCTATTTAGGACTTCCTCAAGCCCTAGAGCCACTCCTCAAAAGATCTCATTAGTGTAACTCCAGCAGCTGTCTTGCTCAGTATCAAGATGTTTTTTCTCACAATTCTGCTGTTTTCCTACCGTAAGCCAAGGACATACTTATTAGATATTACAAATCTTTCTAAACAAGGACCATTGTTTCTTGTCTGAAAGCTTTCTTTTCTTCTCTTAGTTCATATGTTTCAGCAGATCCAGAAAACTACTGCACGTGGCAAAGGTAGGTTCTCTTTTTTTTCACGTTGGGATATATGCTGAAATCGACTGTTAACAGAAAAATGGGGGAGGGTTTTAAAAATGTCCAAAACCTTAATGTAAAATTAAATCTTTTGCCCCCGTTTGTACAGTGAGGCAGTTTATGAGTTTCTATACGAAGTTAACTCCTTGCTGACTTGTATGTAGAGTCAAAATTGCTTTAAGTTGTTAAAACATATTTTCCCCTCTAGAAGTGTTGTATTTTATCTTAGTCATGACTAGTTTATTACCATTTTCTGTGAAAAGACATTAAAAGTTTTTATTACAAATTTATTTATATGCTTTCATATAAGCAAACTAATCTGATAGACCATCAAGGCTCCTGCTGCTACTACTCAAAAGCCCCATCTACTTACACAAGGTTAATTCTTCCTGTTTACATACAGCCACAAATAAAATACTGCTCTTACTTTCCGTTTCCCATGCTACCTCTCAACAAGCATATAACATGACTTTCTCTTACAATTAACACCCCATCATATTTATATTTATCTTTCATACTTCTTTTCATTGCTACTGTAGTTCAAAAGTATTTTTGTTAGTTCATCTGGATACATCTGTTGGCTTTGTGTGCTTATGCTCTCTTTTGTATGAAGACATGTATTTTTCATCAGGCGTTTTGTCCCATCCCACCAGACAAGGAGGGAGAGGCGAGTCAGGTTCGCCAATCCTCTCGGTATGAATTAAGGTGCTTCTCGCTTTATATTCCTTAACACAGCAGGGGTAGCAGCAAAACTCTTGCTTTTCCCATACAGCCGTGGCTCACCACTGCTTGAACCTCTCCCAGCTTTATCGTGGAGAGGTCACTGCCTGACTCTGCCTGCCCGGATCTGGGTAGAGTCAGTATCATTTACTAGCTCCCGCAGGAGCAGGGAGCCAGTATCCTCAAAAACCTTTCAACACCAAGGGAATCCTCTGATTCCCTTTGGTTGGAGAAGGGTGTACAAAGCACCAGGTCCATAGGTAGATAAAAACTTCTACTCCACAATTAGGCTCATTAGTAGCAGAAATGTTTATCATTGCCATGCGTGTGGGGACTATGCCTTGTGTTACTTATTAAAGACATAAAAGACAAAAAGAGTAAAACAAAAAGGGGGGGGGAGGGAGGGAGGGAGATCCATTGATTACCAGTCCAGGTTCCAGCATTGGTCCAGCCAACAGGAGGTGCGTGGTCTTCAAATTTTCCCCACACACAGTCTTGGGATGGTTTGTGGCTTTTAACCCTTGCTTAGACACACCTTCTCCGCTTCCTAAGCTAAATTGCACACCTGCTCTGTCTGGTCCTCATTTGAGTTGGTGGGTGTATTGAGTCGGTGGTCAGTGAGTTGGTGGTTGTGATCTTCCCCTGCCTGAATTACCTTTGGGCTAAGAGTTCGTGGCTCGTCTCCCACACCACCCTCTTAGTCCCTTACCTGCAGAGTGTTGGAAAGGCATTGGGTGCTTCCACCCCCTGCTCCCTCATCGAGTCCTGTCCTGGTACCTGCACTCCTTGGGACAAACAGTTGTTTGTACCAAGAATGACATGTTTGAAGCTGCATACATGCATACATATATTTGAAAAATACAAAGTTGTGTTGTCCACTACCAGAGGTGGAAAAAAATATAACCCCCTATTTCAACAGAAATAAGTATAGCCTGGTCCTCAATATATTTTGGGAAAAATCTGAGAGTTTCTTGGATGATAGGTGCAGTGAACTCACTTAGAAGTTTCTTGTTTCCAGAGATGCTGTCCAATCCCAAGCTTGTACCTGTTCAGGGGACTTTGAATGTCGTGATGAACCAGAACGTGACCCTCTCCTGCCACTCAGACTCTGGATCTCCACCTGTCAGATACACATTGTTTAAACGCAATCAGAAGGTATCCACTTTAAATAGGCCAGACTTGACCCCTGTTTTATTTAACTTGACTATCACCTCTGCCAGTGACATGGGTGACTACAAATGCAAAGCTGAGAATAACATCTCCAGTGGCGGAAAATACAGCAAGAGTCTCAACTTCACCCTTCTAGGTATGTCTTGCTGTATACCTTCCTTCTTCTTCCCCCAGCTTATATACTGAGCATGACATTATATGGTGTGGAATATCCCCTTGGTCAGTTTGGGTCAGCTATCCTAGCTGTGCCCCCTCCCAGCTTCTTGTGCACCTGGCAGAGCTGAGAAGTCCTTGGCCAGTCTAAGCACTCCTTAGCAACAACTAAAACATCAGTGAGATATCAACATTCTTCTCATACTAAATCCAAAAGACAGCACTATACCAGCTACTAGGAAGAAAATTAACTCTATCCCAGCCGAAACCAGGACAACCTTCTCAGCACATTTTATTTTAGGGGCACATAGCCACATCTGATGCAATGTACCTGCAGCAGCAAGAGTCAGGGTTTTGTTTGCAGCAGGTACTGTTTTGGACTGTAGTGCGCACCTGCCTTGATCGCGAAGCTGAACTTTACTGCAAATGGTTATTACTTACTTAGGAGTCGGCAGTGCTATTCTGAACTGGCTCACTGAGCCCTCCATCCTTGATGCCTATCTCATTTGCCAATGCTGCCACTTAACTCAGAGTCTCGCTTTGGAGCTTGTCCTGTACTCAGTGATGAGTCTTTCCAGTCTTCTTTTTACAGAGCCAATTTCCAAACCAGTGCTGAGCTCACCCACCTCCCAAGCAAAGAAAGGCCAGAATGTGACCCTGTCTTGTCTCTCAGAGAACGGCTCTCTTCCTATCACATACATATTCTTCAAAGGAAGACAAACTATCTCTCACCCAGTGAAGATGCAGAAGAGCGAAGCAGCTGTGATTTCTCTATTTATCAATTCCTCTAGTGACTTTGGAACCTATAAATGCAGAGCTGAAAATAGCTTTCACAATAATACAAAATACAGCAACAGTTTCAACTTTACATTAGCAGGTATGCATGTGTCAAACAGTTTACCACTGTCAATAAACAGGGACCACACAAAATTCAGAATGTTGTAACAATGCAAGTTTTTTAGCCAGAAATTTTGTTCCTGCAATGTAATTCTTTTTACAATTAAAAAAAAAAAAAAAAAGTTTTTAAAATGAACGCAAAAAGATAGAATTCCATGCAGCCTAGATAACAGTAGAAGTTGAAGTGACCGTGAAGGATGACTGTAAAAGATTCACTTTTACAAGAGACCCCTGGTCCACCTTGCTCCACCTTGGGGAAAGTCTAGTTCCTTTTTTCTCTCTGATCCTACGAAAGAGAGAGTCTACTGGCACCAGCAAGCTCCCTTCCTTCTGCTGTGGCAGCATGCACCTGGGGACTCTCCCAAGTAGTTATGTTAAGCACAGTTAATCCAAAAGCTGAAAGAAATGCAAAGTCTTGATTTTAATTTATAGCAAATACTTAGAATATGAAACATTTCATTACATAAACACCTTTTTTTTTTTTCCTTCTTTTTGGCAGAAGAGAGAAACCATTCTCAACCCTTGATCATTTCTCTTGGGCTGATCTTGCTACTACTGGTAATAGGATTTGCTCTGGCAATTCCATTTTTCATCATTCCTTCATATAAAGCAAGTGAGTTATTTGAATGTCTGTTTCATTATCCAGAGGTGCTGGTTTATGTTATTAATACATTTTAGCGTGTAAACAGCATGTTACAGTGTGTTAAAGAATACCAAGCTCTTGGTATTTTGGGATGTCATCAAGCCTCTTAACTAGCATAGGCAACTTAAGACATTGACAGAACCTCCAAACTATGTTTTAGATGGCAGGTCTGGGATGGGGGAAGCAAAGCAACATCTAATACAGATAAATGTTGGAAGGAATTGGATCTCGTTGTTCTTAGTAAAAAAAGGAAACTATTAAGAATGTCCTTGGTTAAGGTGTAATTTTTATCATGAAAATAACATTACCTGAGATCTCCAAGTATTCAAAAAAATACCATGGAACTGTTTATTTCCCTCTAAGATATATTGATATATATATATGTATAGGCACGTTTGTTTTTCTTTTACAATTTGCAGAAAAAATAAAGTCTACTAGGTCCTCAACTGGCCTTACTTCAACAATGAAGGCAGAAGAGTCTGAAAACTACGTCATATACACAGAGATTGGTAAGTTCATGTTACTCCCCACGCAGTCATGAAACTTACTTGTGGGAGGTAAAGAATGCTATTATACTATTTGTAGCTAGTATGGGCAAATTTCTTCAGGTACTGCAAAAGCAGCAGAAGGGGACACCTACTACTGCTCAGTAAGTGAGCTAATACTCCCAGTGACCGTGCCTGGCAGAGGCATTATTTGAAGTCACTTGGGTTCCGTATTTGGCACTACCTGTCAGCTGTGCAGCCAAACCTGCACCTGGTTAAATGAACTGAAGTTCTAAAAAAAAAAAAAAAAAAAAAAAAAAAATCTCTACTGTAAACAGAAGTAAAATGAAAAATTGCATTTGGCAACTCATGGTGAGGACTGAAATAGCCATTACAGAGAAAAAGAAAATTAAAAGACAGTAGATCAGAGGTGCAATGCCCATTTACTAAGAGATAAAACTGGGCTACATGCAAGTTGTTCTAGCAAAATAAAACTTACATAGCTCCTGCACTCTATTCAAAATTGTTCAGTACACAATAGCTCTTTACTCCATGTTTCTTAACTTGGACAAAACTCAAAGTCAGTTCAAACTGAAATGATGAAGTAATGCTAGACAACAAAGCAACTGACCTACATTAAGACATTGTGCTACTTCAGTTGCAGAAAATACACAATAATGAAGACATTCCATGAAAGCCGTGATGCTATTATCTTGTAGTTTTCTGGATTTGCCTTATACAAGAATGTCAATCTTTTCAAGGGAAAAAGAAATCCCCAAACCAAACCAACAGCAAAAGTATTATGTTTACTCTTTCTAAATATCAAAAAGGGAATCATTCTCTCTGAACAAATCTGCCATAGAGCAGACAGAATTCTAGCTCCTCTACTGTGTTAGCTCAGTGCTCTGTGCAGCTGCTCACACCAGATACCAGTCAGCATTCTACCCACAACAGATGGTCACAAGAGCTCTGATAAGGCCCATGAATGCTACAGAAAGCATGGTAGATTGATATTCAATATGGAATCTCTCTGCTTTGTTTCAAAATTAAAAAAAAAAAAAAAAAAAAAAATCTGGTCAGTCTCTTCTAATTGAGTTAACTGCTGTTCATCATCTTTAATCCAGAGCCTATTAAACCAGAAGAAGAATACGTCAACTTTTCTGTTATTAGAAGAGAAGATGAGAAAGGTAAAAAAAAATGCTTTTTTGGGATTTTGCTGGGGGGAGGCAGGGTTTGGATAGTAGCAGTTACATACAGAAATTCCTATGACCCAAAAATTCCACAGCCTCATTATGAAACCATGAGGGAGATGTTATTAGTGACCAAGTGCTGATGGAATATTAATTTTTCTGTTGTGTATCTGTACCAAAAAAAGTAATGATGAATGATGTTATTCTGGCTTTTAGCAGAGGAGAGGGCATGTGCTACAGTCTATTCAAAGGTCCACACCAGGGACTGAGTGCAAGGTAAGATCCCTTTTGTGATTAACTTAATCACATATTTTTAAAGAATCTTTCAGTCTTCAGATGTGAGAAGTGCCACCAAGTCTGCACAGAAAGAGACAATGTTTAGATACTAGTTTCCTGGCCTAATTATTTTGTAGACAGACAATATGACTCGCTCTCTACTAGCAAGCAAAATCCCCAAGTCATAATCTCCAGGGACTTCAACTTAAAAGAAAAAGCAGGATAAAAACTGGAATTAACGAAGACCTAAACAGCAATCCCATTAGACAAACAGCAGCTTATTTCCCAAATAGCACCATAAAAACCAAAACGAAACAAAACAATGCAGTCACTGTCAGGTAAGATCCTGCTGGACACACAATATATAGTCTGGCATTATATGCATCTGATGAATAAACAGAAAGGAATAAATGTTAAAGCTTTCACCCAAACCTAAGTTCCCATACATTTAACAATTCTCCTGAAATAGAAACTGGATTGTGTGCAAACACAAGACAATAAAAAAGCTTTAATTATTAAAATAAAAAATATCCCAGCTGTGTTGTCCTCTTAGGCACACGCTAGAGGATCCGTATTTTGCCTTTGCACCTGCTCCTGCTTAGCAGCAACGATGGCAATTTCTCAGTTTAACATTACTTCAGCTCTCAGAGTAGGGGAAGGATGCTAAAATCAACTTTTGGGACAGTTAACTCCAAAACAAATTCTGCGTCCTGCTGTGGGCTGTTTCTTAGATGTTTCTGAGCTGTTTTAGTATCATTCCATAGCCAGTTTACATAAAATTCCACAAGTTCAGTAAGTCACACAGCCACACTGTGCTAACCTTGCATTGTATCTAGCATAATTACACTATGCAGCAATCAATATTGTTACAAATAATCCATTTATAGTTAATTAAGCACTATGTGAATAGCAGAAATTTTTAAGGCAAGTTCTGGTGCTTCATGACAGCAATAACCATCAGTGGCTGCATGCCTTATTGCATACGCCTTAAAGCGCTTTAACACGGTGACTTAACAAGCTGTACACACATAGTGGGTCTACAGAAGATCAGAATCAGTCAATTTCGTATCCGTGCAAACTCTTGTACCCGATTTTGACTACAACACTTCAGTATAGGATAAATATGATCACACATTGGTCTTTTTCCACCATTTTCTAGGTACAGACATTTTTTGTCCACAAAAATGCTTGTCAAAACCGCTTACAATTTATTTCTTCTATTTCCTCTGTTACTCTTGATAATCTCTGATTTTCGTGTTTATCTAGTGCAGGATGAAGAAGCTTAGCTGTTGAAGAACTGAGGCCATGAGATTAAAATACATTCCTACAAACAGATAGTACAAAAATACTGATGTTATTAAAACATTTAAGATTTGCAAATCTTTTATATAAAATACCATTTTCCACTGGAGACCATAATTGTGTCAGCAATACGCATAGGAAAGATGAATTTTTAGGCTAGGATGGAATATTTTCAATAAGACAGTAAAACTGAAGACATGAAAGAGGGACAAGTTCGCCTCTTCCCTCTTTTCAGGGTAACCTGGAAGATCTAGATGGTCTAGATTTCAGAGAAAACAGATGCACCACCAAGTTTTAGGAGAACTATTTGCAGAGAAGCCGCTGAGTCCAGGACACCGTAGAAGCCGATTCAGGCACAGATGTTTAAGAAATTCCTTTTATTCAACAAATTTAAATTTACACATTTTTGGCTGATGTTACATACTTAGTTAAAAAGTCCTTCAGCCTAGAAATGTGCATCATTTCCTTCATGGTGGTGTCTCTGCTTCTCAGCTGGACCACTCCATTCTCTAGAGTGGCATCAGTTATCAAGACCGTGAAGAGAACGCTCATCTCATCGTACCTGTGAAGAAAAGAGCACACCTGTTACTGCTTTTGGTGTATGCAAAATTCAGATAAGTGACGTACAAATGACTGTAAGCTGTAAAAATTTATTTTTACTATACTGCACTAAGTCCAGCGTGAAGACACCAGTTTTCTTGTTGCCATTCCTTGCTTTCCGATTATATTTCTTTTAAATTATTTAGTTACTTTAATACATAAAAAGAATGTTATTTGGTGACCTAACAAGAGTATTTTTGTAGAAGCAGAATATATATTTTTTTCTTGTATTTAGTAACCAGATTTACTCTGAAGACTACTGCACAGAACAAATAGTTGTATTTATTTTCTCTCGGGAAAAAACATTCATCAATATGTTCAAGATCCATTGACATGAGCAGTGACATGCTCAAAGTTCACTCCTGATCAACAAATCATGTATGAAGTCCTCATCTGCACAAATAATTCCACCACATACGCTAATGGTAATTGTTCCAGACTTGGAAGAACTTTTAAGTTCAAGACTAGAGACAGTGTGCTGTCTGAAATAGTACGCCACAATGAAACACAAAGAATCAGTCCAGATGCACAAATCGGGGTGAGGGTGGGAAACAGTTCTGTGAGCTTATGACTCGTCTTAAGAAACTTATTTTCAATAGGAGAGTCTCTAAAAGGCATTTCACAGTTCCAGAGAAACAACAATAACATGTGAAAGGCTTATCCTTCACTTAATTTAGAAAATTAACTATCTGACATTGCTCTTTGTAATAAAACTAATTGAATCCAAGTTTATAGTTTGGGATACATGCCTTCAGTTATGTGGTTACTGCACTCGATGACTTCTTACTGAAAACAGGCATATTTTCGCTAGTCCACAGAAAGTCATCTTTCACCTTCATAGTTTAATTTACAAAAGACTGTTTCTCCTTACTTTGTATAAAGCTGTTCCAGAGATACCTGCACGGTTTCAAGATAACCAGGCCATACAGAAATTCTATTTTCTGAGAGTTCATTGAACAATCCTTGACAAACCTGTGTTTATTTAAAAACAAAAGTTAAAAGACTTTGAGGCACGAATTCCTATACAAAGAAACCATTAAAACTAGTATGTGTGATGATAGCATTCCTAGCTGGTGTAAAGTTTCTGGCTGAAATAATCTCAAAGTAGAAAGCAGCCTGGCAATTAAATCTCCATTTCTATTTAAAAACATGCCAGTGTAAGTTTCCTCCCTTACCTGGGGACTGGCTTAATGACCTACTTAAATAAAAACTTTTTAAAAATCCTTCTGAAGATGTGACTTATGCACGGAGATAAATTTGAAAGATTAAGAACCTGAGAGGGATTGTGTTATTTATTTTCCTTAATTTTGTACGGAACAAATATCAAGTCTATAAATAGTACTAAGAGCAGCATGTTAACGCAAGGAAGGCGCCTACTACCCACTGTCTACAGCGTACTCCTTCCGCTGTGACTCCTAAGCTGCACTGTGAAATCTGTACAGTCACGAACCTCCAAGACTCAAAGCAGCAGCATGATTTTCCCCAACATAAGGGGTGTCTGAATTGTAAGAGAAGGTTACATGGAAAGTCAACGCTCAGAATTAAAATACTTTCTTACAACGTACCTGTCGCAGCTCTGTTGTTGGACCTTTTCCTACAACCAAGGCCACTTTAAGAGGCGCTAAACAAGGATGAAGCTTAAGTACCTAATAATTTTACAAAAAGCAACAGATTACTAAATGCATTTAGCGTGAAATTCTAAACAGACCTAGGAAATATTTTCTCATAATACAAAATCCTGAATTAGAAGCAAGCTGTATTTCATACAACTAGTACACATGCCAGCTAGGTTAGCATGGCAGAAATTTCCTCAAAAGAGATGAATTTTTATTAGCAGAACTCCGTCATCTTTAATGGAGCCAGAGTGATCAGAGACAGCCCAGCAGACAGCTACCATCCAGGCTGCTGCCTGTTCTTAAAGACCAAATGCCTGCCTGATTAACAAGCACTGTCTGAAAGCTAGCACTCTCACTCCAGAAAACCAGGGTAAAAGTGGGAATAACAATGGTCCTTGGGGAAATGCCCCACTACTGCCTGTGACCCACTTTTTCTACTCTTCTCAGCAACCTTCAAATGCTGCCAGAAGAGACAAGCTCCTCTTTCCCACACGCAGCAACTACATCCCAATTCCTCTTAACTCCTTCATCACTTGCACGGCAAGGGCCTGCCTTCTCATCAGAGAGAAGGTAAAACAGGAAAGGTGACCTCAGGATGAGAGAAAAATTGCTAATTGCTTATGTGGGTGAAAAGGACAGCAGAGGCAGCCCCATGGGGCCAGCCTATTGCTATCAGTGAAAAGCGTTGTCTGCATCTGCTGGGGAAGGCAGCAGAGGATGGCTATGTGGAAAAGGGAGGCGTTTCCATGCTTGAATTTACCACATTGTCTGTGGGTTTTGTAATTAGACCTGCCCCTGCCTTCCATCACCCATTCTTCCTTACACTTTCTACAGAAAGTTACCTTTCTCTGTGAATTTTTCTTTTTTGTTAATGGGTTCTCAGCTAGCTGTAGAGAATCAAAGAGATAGGCTAATGCTCCTCGGTCCAAATTTCCACTCACAGACAGAACATGAGGAATAACATTCTTCCTTCCATCTCGGCCCTAAAGAGGAAAAAGAAAAAAACAAACCCACAAAGGCATACCTCAAATAATGTTTCAAGGGGCCTTTTGTTTACGGTACACGTATAATGAGGCATTGAGTTCAAGCAGCCTTATTAAGTTTAAAATACAATCATATTTTACAAAGTTACCAGCAATCTTAGAAGTGAAACAGTAACTAGGTAAGACTGTAACACTGGGAAAAGCAGAAGATCAGAGCAGGGTGGGATTCTTTTCTTGTCCTGCCTCCCTGATCGTAAATTCAAATCTATGGCCAATACACTCGGAACTCTGCATTTTTGTTTATAGAGGTTTTTAGGTTACTTCCAAGCAACGTGGGTCTGTCCCCACGCTCTCAGAAATCACTACGTAATCCACAGTTTGGTAGGTTACATTACAGTCTTCTGCCTTCTGTATAAAAACAAGCTGCAAAACCAGCAAAGACAGACAGGACTGTCATGAGAAGGAGAAGGTTGCAATTTACTGGTAAAATACCAAGGTACTCTTGTTTTAACTGTTCAGCTTGACTTTCCAAATGCTGCCATTCGCTAGAAGTTTGTCCCCCTCCAATATATGCAGTGTAAAGGTTTCCCTCCGGTCCATTCTTCCTTCTGAGTGTGGTAACTTTTATAAAGCCATTTGCAGTGTTTATAATCCATTAACCCACATATACTTCCACATATATAGAACTGGACAAGCTACAGAAAAAAACCCCCCACATTTACAGGTTCTTAACACTGCAAGACGTGTTTGTCTTGACATCTGCTCACAGCTAAAGGCTATGCAGCTGACAACAGCTATCTTGTCAATATAGCTAATTTCTCATTTCAAAGAATTAAATCCTTGCAAAAAAAAAAACAACCAAACCCTAAACGAGTATTTTATCTGCTTTTGGAAATGAAGGTCTGTCAGCTGAGTATCAATTGTACTGCTTTCACAACAAAAGAATAAGAAGATAGTCACATACTACCAATTGGACCAGTAAAGAAACCATTTCTCTCACAGGTTATCATCTTTATCAAAAAAGGTTTTTAATACAGTAAAGCTTACAAGTAATTTTGAACTATCCCCTGGATACATCTCTAACAGTTCAGTATCACCAAGGTTCTTCAATGTTTCTATTGTTTCTGTCCCCCAAGGAAAGCTGTAATGTAAATTAAATCCTCTTCTTCCTTCTTCATCCTGAAAGTCACTGCTGCTGAAGTTAGATGGGCCTACTGCAAACTGAAAATCAAAGATATAAGAGGTGATCACTACTGTGCGTGCTGTGTTAACTACAAAAACCAAGTCTGTAATGCAAGCCAACGTCTATACCGCAAGCTGAAGTCTATGATTTTCAGCAAGAGATTTTTATGTATTATAGCCCAAATCTCTTTCTTGTTTTACAGCATTTTGACCTCAAATCAGTTACAAACACAAAGCACTTGCCCTTCTGCAAGTAATGTTGTAAATTACTTAACTACTTGACATAAACTTAAGTAGTTTTTTTTGTTTCTTACAAGAAATACACATAGTATTTCAGTGCCAAGAACAGGCAAGCAATATATTGCCGTTAAACCGTCCAGGGTGTCTATTCCCCCCTCTCTTTCAGACACAAAGGAGCAGGCCAAGATGTCCCACAGGCACACTACTGTTACCTTTCTCCACCATTGGAGTCTCTGGCGTAACCAGTAATCGAGCCACTGTCCAGCAGTTCTGGGAGAGCTAAACCATGCAAGCAAAGACGTGGTCCTTTCGCCTATTCTTTAAACAATAGCAAGGTCAGCAAGTTAACTCCTTCAAAAATAACAGGGAAAAAGCAAGAGACAGTATTCAAAAATAATCCAAAAGTGAAACAAGCGCAAACAGTAGGTTTAAGTATGAAGAGGGATTAATCTCTCTATTACTCTACCTTCTAAGGTTTTTGTTGTGGTGTTCGCTTTCTGGAATAGAGTGAAAGCACACTCCAATTTGAGCAAGGCCACAAGGCAGTCTCTTGTTCACCAGTTCCAAGCAGCTAACATATTGTGCCAAAGCACCTGTCAAAAGACAAACTGCTAATTTTAGTAGCCACAGGAAAAAAATTAATTTTTAGTTCTACTGAGAGTGAATGTAGCACATATGATACACGCGCTGTTTACATGCGCAGCGCCACTAGCAGTAATGTTTTGCAAAGATTAATTAGCTCAGCAGCCTGATTCCTTTGAGTACTTTGGCAACAGTGATGTTAATGTGCCTTTCCCCTAATTACAAGGGAAAGCATCCGATGTGCACTTCAGCATTCATGCTGCTCGGGTCCTTGAAAAGGACACAAACTCACGGCGTGCAGAAGCAGCTTTCCCAGCACTCAAAGACAACGGGAAAATTCCCATAAACAGAGCTGCTTCGCTCCCAGCAAGCAAAACGCCAGCCGGCGCCCAGGCCGTCAGCGCTCTCCAGAGACTCGCCTCATCCCTGAGGCGACGGACGAGAGACCTACCGGGAAGCAGGCTCTCACGAAGCGTCCCCGCGGTCCCTAGCACCTCTTCCAGAGGCGGACCGCCCGGCTCCTGCACGTAGCCCCTGCCCTGG